GGATCTGACATGATTATCCCATGAAAGAGTGTTGCTGATGGAAATACCTAGCATAGATATGGTGGGCTTGGTGGAGATGGTGGTGCCAGACATTACAATGTCGGGCATACTGAGTTCCGCCTTTATAGAGAAAATACAGGCTTGAGTTTTGGTGGCGTTGAATTCAACTAGGTTGTTGGTTCCCCAGGCTGTGATTTCAGCAAGGTCTTCATTGACAGCATTGACCTGCCTGCGCCGTGAGTTCTTAGTTTCCTGGGAAGAGATGGGAATTCTGGATGAGAACGCAGTATGTAGGGTACTATCATCTGCGAAGCTGTGGATGGGGCAAGTTGTTACTCCCAACAGATCATTGATATGCAGAAGAAATAATGTTGGTGCCAAAATTGATCCTTGTGGAACGCCGGCATTGATGCCAATGGTATCAGACGATACACCGTCCACCACCACATGAAGCGATCTGCCTGAAAGAAAACTCGATAAGAGATGGCATAGCTGAGGTGGTAAGCCGTATGATGGTAGTTTGTGGAGGAGTCCTTTGTGCCAAACACGGTCAAATGCTTTCGAAATGTCCAACGCGACAGCTAAAGATTCCCCGTGTTCTTCTAATGAAGCTTGCCATAAATGGGTGACGTAGGCAAGTAGATCTCCAGTAGATCTTCGGTGGCGAAAGCCGTATTGTCTATCATTGATGATTCCTGAGCTCTCCAGATATTTGATGAGCTCAATGTTGATGGCTTTCTCCATCACTTTGGAGATCACTGATAACAGGGCAATGGGCCTGTAGTTGTTGGGCAGGTTCTTGTTCCCTTTTTTGGGGATTGGTTGGACTCTAGCTGTCTTCCAGCATGATGGAAAAATACCCGACCTGTACGAGACGGTAAACAACTTGCAGAGAATCGGTGTTAGTTCTGGTGCACATTTTTTGAGGATAATGGGTGGGATTCCATCAGGACCGTTAGCTTCATTCGTTTTGAAACCAAGCAAAATTCGTCTGATAGTGCGTTGACGGAAGACGATTTCGGGCATTCGACTCTCAACCGGTGGAATGTCTGGCGGCACTTTTCCTTGGGAATCTAAAGTAGAGTTTGCTGCGAACATCTCTGCAAAAATATTTGCTTTCTCCTGCGATGTTGTTGCTAATGTGCCGTCGGATTTGGACAGTGGTGGAAATGAACTATTAGTAAAATTTCTTCCGACCGCTTTAGCAAGGGACCAAAACGAACGGGAGCCATTGGGACAATCTATGAGTTTCGATCTTATCTTGGCATTGTATGTTTCTTTCGAAGCATCTATTGTTTGGCTGCAGTTATTCCTGGCATCAACGTATTCTGCTCTAGTCGCGAGGTTAGGGTTTTTGCGCCAGCGATGGTAGGCTGTTTGTTTCAAGGCAACAGTTCTAGAACAGTTTTTGTTGAACCAGGGTTTCGATGATGATGATCTCTTCGAAGAATGAGGTATATATGTGTCCATTCCGAGCATGATGATCTCGGATATTTCTGCAGCACACTGTGAAGGGTCCTCAGAGTCGAAGCATACTCTATGCCAAGGAAACTCGGAGAAAAACATGCGGAGACCGTCCCAATCTCCTGAATTGTAATGCCATATAAGACGTGGGGGTGCCGGAGCAGTTGATGGAATGAAGAATGGGCAGGTTGTGGAGATGAGTGTGTGGTCAGAATTGCCAAGTGGAGCTCGTACATCTATGGTGTAGGGTGCTGAATTATTAGTGAGAAATAAGTCAAGTATGTTAGCTGAATGGTTATTGGCATCGGGAATTCGTGTGGGTTCTTTGATAAGCTGCTCTAAGCCGTGAGTGATGGCGAAAGCTTCGGCTTGTCGCCCAGCTTCATCCGTTCTGTTAGAGTGTACGAGCCAAGCAGTGTTGTGTACATTGAAATCGCCCATGATGATGATTTCTGCTGCTGGATGGTTCTGTTGAATTTGGTCAAGCTTCAGAGACAAGAATTCGAAGAGCTCTTCGTAGGATGGATCATTTGGTGACAAGTAGAGACAACAAAGGTATTTGGTCTGTTTCTGGCTATCGAGTTTGAACCACATGACATCAAACTTATTTGGTTCCAAAGTTTTTTCTCGTTGACATGAGAGATTCGTTTTAGAGTAGAGGCAGAGACCTCCCTTGAATCTGAAACGTGTGTGGAGTTCGTACCCAGGACAGAGCAGATAGGTCGTATTGGTGGATGAATTGACCTGTGTCTCAGTAAGAGCCAATATGTCTGGCTTTTCAATTTGAAGGTGTCGATGGACATCGTTGATGTTCTTACTTAGACCTCGGATGTTACATAGGTCTATCTTGAGGACTTTTTCAGTCGATGGTGAACCCCCTCTAGCACCTCTCGCCCGGAAATCCGAATGGAGAGGTATTTTACTTCCGGATAATTTCACTTGAGGAGAACTCATCATCGTTTATTCTTATGACAAAGTGGCATTTATTTCTTAATTCGCTGTTGAATTGCTTTTTATTCAATAATAATAAGTTGGCTGTGACATGAATTCGATGATATATCGACACGTAGGTAGGCTTTGAAATTTAAATATGAGATAAAAAATCGAACTATACCTATGAAGATAAATGAATGAAATATAGCTTGAAAAACTATCAACGGACTGACAGTGACATCTTGGGAGAGATCAGCAGCATTATAGATCAGATTTATCAATCAATAATTAATCCTTGTGTAAATCCAAAGAAATCTACAATTGAAAATTTTGAAGCTATTATTCATTCGTGATCCTAATACGGTTTTTACAATCATCGCATTTGCATTTCTTTGGAGTTTTTCCAGTAATGCTTATGCATTTTTTGTGATACCAGTGATCACAACTCTGACATAGAATCATAATATCTCCAATACTTTGGCAATTTTTCCCTTGATGACAAGTTGACATAGTATTTTCGTCCCAGTAGTCATTTCGACATTTCTCAAATATTCAACCGTATATCCAGAAGTTGATCTGTTAAAATTTTCATTTAATTCAATGTCAATAGAGTCCGCTCTAATTTGTTTTCTATAACTAATTTTATAATTTCCCAAGTGATATTTTACCACATCGTCTTTACCACTTATTAAAATTTCACCAAACATACATACATAAGCGCCACAATCAAATGAATTATTTTGTTGTGGCAAATCTTTTGGAATATGAAGAATCCAACTTGATGAAACAAACTTTGATGCATCCATTTCTTTACAAATTTTCTACAATTTCATCAAGTAGACTATTTAATCAGGAATTCCATTAGTACTATTCAAACTATCCAAATAAAATATCATTCTTTGTTTTCTGAATATTACTATTAACGTACAATGTTCATTTCGGTATCTTCAAAAATATTGAATACCCCTTTGTATAGAGCTTTCCAGTTCAATAAAATTCACGATGAAACTTTCTACACAAAATATAGTTACAGATGCTTTTGTCAGCCTCTTATGTACCAAAATTTGGAAATATACATCAAATACAGAATCTATAAAATAAAGGTATCTAGCTGTACACGAGTAAATTTTTTTTTCAATAGGAAAAACACTCTCAATGTCTTTGGGTTTGAGTTTTTTCCCCCCAATTATGATATCCCTATTTGATTTCATTATTTTTTGAAATGTGTATTCACAATTGATCGAATAATTTTCTAAACGAATTGTTGATTCAGTACGCTTGTTTTCCGTATGATCATGTATTTCAATAATTGATGCTCTTCTTGGAGTTGATTTAAATGGTGCAAGGAACTTCTCGAAAGTTTTATCTGCAGAGACTGTTGGTATGAAGAGTGTTGTTGAATTTTTGATGTCATCTGATTTCGACTTCATAAGAGAATCATTTGCAGCTTCAACAACAGTTATGTTGCCTGGCCCATGCTTTCTTCCTGCCCTGAAAATATAGATGGGTTCATTATATGACGTAGGTTTATTAGCTCATTATCATAATTCACCTATATTCCCTTTTTCTCTTGACAATTGTTGAAAGTTTAACATTCCTCTGCTCTTCTTTAATATTTCCAATGGCCAAATATGCAGCTTCTATATGATGACATTTCTTCTTTGCTTTGCAGGAACAATTTTCTTTGGGAAGGAGGGTCACTAAATATGTCTGCTTCTCCGTGGAAATGATGAATCATTTTGGCTGCACTGTGTTTAGTGAATGGTTCATCTTCAGAATTTTCCATCGGCTTCTTAAAATCTTTATTTTCGAATATATCCAAAGGGATATTACAGGTTGGGAACTTGACAACTGAGAGGTCTTCGATCAGAAGTGGTTTGTTTGTGGAATTCAGATGGAAGTTGCCAGTCCCACAGTATCCTCTGAGTATTTCTTTTTGGTAATAGAGATCGAGCTGATATAGACAGAGTGTGAGAATATGAGCTTTCACTTCTTTACGATTCACTAATCGCTTAAGCTTATCATTAAAGCGTTCGGAAGGGTTTATTGTTATACCGCTTTTCGACGTATACAAATTATATTTTTGGAGAACCCATTTTCCTTTTGCCAATATATCATTCATGAGATATTTATTGAAATAATCAAGAAAAGTAGTAGTCCACTGCGTTCTCATCAATTCAAATTTCTCATAGAAATCATCCAAGCTCTCCGAATCAAGTAAGTTCCAGACATATTTGACATATGTTTTGAGGTAATCTTTCTCACTATTTTTTTGCTTTTTGAACCATACTCGTACATCAGTTTCAAAATGGTTTCAACAAAAAAAGTGCTCTGAATCTGGTAATACAGTTTCTATCGCGTTTGTTATAGCCCCTTCTCTATCTGTCACTATACAAGTGGTTTTCTTGAATTATAGTTTTCCTTTCATTTGATTAAAAATATTTTGTGATTTTCCGTCGTTTAAGTATGGTGAATCAATTATGCCAATGGTATGACAGGATCATCTACGAAATTGTTATTCCTGTATGTGAGTGGACTTACATAAAAGTCCCCCAAGTTGAAAGTGGTATCATAATACAATACTACTCCATCATTCAGTCTTCCTAGTTCTTCAAATGTTGCTTGGCTGTAGAGCACTGTACCAAATTCTGGAATAAGTTCGAATAAGTCTTTATGAAGCCATTCAAATCTTCGTTGATGAGGTATAATTCTATCAAGTCATCATCAGACAAAAGATCTCGCTTTCTCTCATTCATAATGCTGTTTTTAACTTGAATTTTATCTCTCGGTGATAAAACATTTATTTGAGCTGGATGGATATCCTCAGCTGTTAATTTCTTATAAACCGTCAGAAGGGCATCCAGTAGGGACGTCTTTTGTTTCGCTAATTGGGATTTTGCGGTCGTGATATGTTTTCTGTCGATGTTTTTTTTTCGGTTCCCATGACACTCAAGGATTACACTTATCAGAGAACTAGTATAATGTATCAATACAATATGTTCCGAGTTATGTTTATGAGGATCTAGTAGTACATACGCCCTCTTGGAGAAATTTTCCCCCTTATAAGTATGGAAGTATGTACATAATAATTCTGGATTTTTTAATGGTAACTGTTTTGTTTCCATTTGTCTCCATCTGTGTTGGTCCGCTCTCCAATTGGAGTTTTCCTGAACGAACGAAGATTTGAAAATACAGATGTGTGATGGTTTAGGTGATACTGGAGGTTGGAAGCATGTTCGTGTTTCATCAAAGTCCACTATAATTATAAAGTATTCTTCTATACTCAACCATCTCTTCGATTCCATAAAGGGTTTCGGAACTCCTTCCATGATTCCTGAATTTGGATAGTCCATGGAGAATTTCAAATGTAGCAGACACAAACAACTCAAAATCGTTTTTCAAAACACAAGACAAAATTATTCACAATTCACTAATAAAAATTTATACGCATATACCTCGAATGTAAAGGACAAAGTGACCACATTACGAGTATATATGTAATAAGGAACCCTCAAGATGCTCAGGTCGCGGGATTATCTTTTCTAGGATTTTTTCTTCCGATTTCCGGTATAGGTAGATAAAACAATAGGATAGAATAATGTACCTATGGAAAAATACACGGGTGTCGTGGTTTCCAAGAAGGTGAGGAACATTTCAACACTTTAGGTCTGTAAGATAGGAAGATTAAAACTTTTGTTCTTGTATTCTCATGAGATAAATCGATTTATGGTGAAATTGAGATGATTTGACTCTCAAAAATACCCAGTCCGCAAGATTTTATGAAAAAACACAAGAGTAAAGTGCTCCCCAGGGGAACTGTGGAAAAAATTCAAAAACTTTTCATCGTGTATTTTCATAAAATAAATCGATTTATGGTGAAATTCAGATGATTTGACTCAAAAATACCCAGTCCGCAAGATTTTATGAAAAAACACAGGAGTAAAGTGCTCCCCAGGAGGGTCACAGGAAAAAAAACTGAAACTTCTCATCATGTATATCGGTGAGCTGAATCCAGATATGCAATAAAAACATCGAAAAGTTTGATGGAAATAGCCAGTCTGCAACATTTTATTCCAGTTCGCAAATTTTACACACCCAGCATACAGGGTGTTTCAAAAAAACCTGACCCCCTCGCTAGGGTAGGTAGAACACTGCAAAATAAGTTGGGTTTGCTCAGTGAAAAAATGTCGTAACGGCATCTGTTTTCAAGATACAAGGTGTTGAAAAAATTATTTTTGTACACATTTGTCACGATTATGTCGAAACTACTGGCAACATTGTGATGAAATTTTGTATGAGTGTTACTTGAAATCTGACACATCGCATGAATTTGTTTTTATATCTGACTTTCATAGAGGGCGCGAGTTACACGTTTCGTACCGAGTAGTTTAGATCATAACTTTTTTGAGGTTAGATTTTTCAATCCAAATATGATATGAACTTGAACATCATTCAATTTTTCATCAAAAAGGTACACTTGGTGAAACTCGATACAATGTTCCGTTTTCGGAATATTTCGATTTGAAAATAATGGAGCAATAGCTGATGCTGGTATAAAATGAATATTATTGAGTTCAATTATCTATTTATTCAGATTCAAAAACAATAAAATCATTCTTGCACTGGAGTTATTGATGGAACAAAGAGCCATAAGTTGTAAATTAAGAGATATTTGACTAGAAACATGAAATATTGAATCAGTTAGTGTAAGTGTTCAAAATGTCCTACGTTTCGACGAATACACGATTCTAATTTCTTTTCTTGAGAATGTATTATTCTTTTAAACAGTTGAGAATCAGCTGTTAGGTCATTTGAGTGATGTACAATTATATGTCTTACAACTCTTGACGTGAATTTACCTATGTAGCATAAACTTTCTGCTCAAGATACAACAAAACAGTGTAATCCATGTTCTTGGTCAAATCTGTTTCCATGTTATTCTTGTGATTCATTGTTAAATCAATAAGTTTAGCATCAGAAATGTATTCTTGTTTACGGTTTTCAATAAATAGGTGATAATTTTTCATAATACTCACTATAATACATAGCTTTATACCACCAACAGTTATCACTTCATCATTTTCAAATCGAAATATTCTGAAAACGGTACACAGTATCGAGTTTTACCAAGAGTACCTTTTTGGTTTTAAATTGAATGATGTCAAAGTTCACATCAAATTTGGATCGAAAAATCTAACCTCAAAAAAGTTATGTTCAAAACTACTTGGTACGAACCGTGTAACTAGTGCCCTCTATGAGAGTCAGATATAAAAACGAATGCATGCGATGTGTCAGATTCCAAGAAACATCCATACAAAATTTCATCACAATGTTGCAAGTAGTTTCGTCAAAATCTTGAAAAATGTGTAAAAAAATATTTTTTCAACACCTTGTATCTTGATAACGGATGCCGTTACGAAATTTTCTTACTAAGTGAACCCAACTTATTTTGCAGTGTTCTACCTACCCTAGTTAGGGGGTCAGGTTTTTTTGAAACACCCTGTATAGTGGTCGCGCTTATGTATTTTCGTGGGCTCAAGATGATTAAAGCAAACGACCTATTTCAACTGTTAGTACTCATTATATAAAACATCAAATCACTTCTTGGCCACCCTAGATACGCGTCGTTCACCCTCTGCAACCCTTCAAAGGGTGAAACTTTCAAATGGCCGTATCTCAATGACTATTTGAGGTAGCGAATTCGTTTTGACGCCAAAATGATTGTTTTTTGATTGTGAATGAAGTTTTATATAAAGACATTTACTGTTTTCTCAACACCTGTTGAGATATTTCGAATAAACTGATATTTTTATATCATACCATTCGATTTTTATCGAATAACTTCGAAATGAATGAATTCTTCGAATATATGCCCCAATTGAAAATTCTTGCTTACACTCTCAGCTTCATTTTGATACTAGCATTATTATAATTCCGATTATACAAACTTGTATTAAACGCTGTGAAATCGGAAGAACGCGTGTTCTCGGACACGTTTCGACATGACTAAACGTTATGTCTGCGAGCGTCGTCATGCATTGCATAGAATCAATCATAGATGAATCTTGAATCTTATTAGTCGACGTATCACTGTTAATATGTGAAGTTGTGTAAATACAACTTCGTAAATCGTTCAGGAGTATTTTGAATATTTGAGTGAACAATAATATATTATATTAAATATGGATTCGTCCTCGGAAATTAACTTTGCTTTGGGTGTTATTTGTCAGAAAAACAATGATTTGAAATTAGTGAAGAAACCTACAAGACACGATATGGTGATGAAGTGTATAAAATCAAGAATTGACCTAGATGATCCTGATTTTATTCATATGAAGCATATTTACTCTACAATACCAACGGATGAATTGAGAAATAATTCTGGATCATGGCATTCAGAATGCTACAGTAAGATAACCCATAAGAAAAGTTTAGAGCGTCTACAATAATCCTCGCAAAAATCGCTTGCTTTGACTCCATCAACTTCTGGTTCTCATAGCGTTTTGAGATCGAATGTTCCCAAACTAAATGATTTTTGTCCCGGCTGGGCTGACCTTTGTGATTATTCCTGATGCGAATGATTCGCAAATATTGGTATGAAAATATTCCACCAATATTTTGAAGACAACATAGCTACATAATGATTTTCAATAATGTACCAATATTTCCAACCAATATTGCACCAGTATTGTCAAATGTTCACTGTCCATTTATCAGCAATATCGATATCACATTTTGTGACCAATATAACTTCACGAATATTCCAGCAATATTGGTATGCAAATATTCTACCAATATTTCTGAGACAACATACCTTCATGATGATTTTCAATGATTCACCGATATTTCCATATATTACACCAATATTTCCGAATGTTCACCATTAATTTCTCGCCAATATTGATATTACATTTTGTGTCCGATATAACTCTACGAATATTCAACCAATATCAATATGAGAATATTCTACCCACATTTGGAAACTGATATTGTACCAATATCGCCGAATGTTCACATTTTTTTTCTCGCCTATATTACTTTCACAATATTTTGCCGATATTTTCGTAATATTGCACCGATATTGTCCCAATATATGTGTGCTACTTGGGTGGTTTCCAAACATTTTTCGGTTTCCCAAAAACTTGTTCATTAGAGAAATATTTCTGATTGGGATTTTGCCTAGATTGAACATTTATTGTTGCTGATGGAAATTGCTGCCTTTGATTGAAGTTTGGTGCATTTGATGGACCTGCTTGAGCAAAATTTTGATAATTTTGTTGCCTGAATGGCTGTTGTCGAAATTGGTTTGTGTTTACAAATGTGTTAGAATTTGTGTTAGGAAATTTGTTTGGATGTTTCTTGTACTGCGAAAAATTTGAATTTTGATTCGAACTCTGATTCGAACTATTATGAGAACCGGCGTTTTGCAAGTATCTAATATTGTCTTCCTTGCGAATGAAATTTATGGCGTCTAGCATAGTTTTTGGTTCTTTGGTACGGTCCATTATTCCGAAAGGATTTCTCAGTCCGGCTAAAAATACCTCGAGAGCCTGTTGGTTGTACATATTTTGTTTGAATTTACGAACATTTACATCATTTTCATGGATTGATAGATAGTTAGAAATTGTATTCAAAATTTTTCTCACTCTATCATGAAATTGATAGGGAGACTCGTTTTGATTTTGTCTGAGATTATTCAAATCAAGAGATAAACAGGTTTCATTTCTTGGGTCGCTAAAATTTCGGATCAATTCATCCTCAATTTGTTGTACATTACTTGCACAGGTAATATTAACGACTTCTCTAGCAGAACCTTTCAGTTTGCTTATGATTGTTCGGAAAATAATCACATTTTGGAAATTATTCACATTCTGAGTATCGTAAAAGTGTTTGACTATGCTATCGACACTTTCAAGAAAAAAGTTCAGTTCATTTACATCACCGTCGAAATCCGGGATGGTTTCTGCATGAACTTTGGAAAATGTTGGAACTGACATTGTTTCTGTGTTAATTTTATTTGATGAAGAAATATCAACAGGAGTTTTTTCTTCTATGATTGAAATACTACTGAGATTATCTGTTAGTAATTGTATACTGAGCTCTAGATTGTCTTCACTTTCACTTAAGGATGGAGAAGTTCTAGAGGAGTCTGACATGAAAAGAAAAATTCACTTACAGTACGATCTCTCTGTTCATTTGTCTTGAAGTGCTGCTTTTCTTGCAGATGCTTCTCTTTTGTCCGACCAGCTTGTCCGCCTGGATACGCCTTCGGAGTTCTCTTCTGCTTTCAGTTTCACTGCGATTACACCGAACCGAACGAGATCCGATT